ATCCTGCAATAGATACGGATCGAATGAGCAACCATCGACCTATGTAACCTTTGAGTTTCAGGATAATGCACTGAGGCATGTGATATCAAACTCACACTTGTGCCCTGCCACATCTCTCTAAGCAACTCCAACTCAAGTTCCCTAGCCCCAGCACTCCTGGCAGGCATCGTCGACGATGTGAGCGGCCACGCAAGTCGGCATTTCTGATGTTCTGACAAGATATAGACCCTTAAGATAAGATCCCAAGCAAGCTTGAATAGTTCTCGATGCTTTAGAGACTGCGCTTGTGCGATTCATGACGACATCGATCTGCTCGAAAAATCAGCCTGGCATGTTGCATCTATCATTCTGACTGCAACATCCCCCTAGAACCTCCGGATAGCAAAGTTGCATATTTCTGGGTTTGGTGGAAATCTACGCATATTTACGCCACTTCTGGTATGTGGCAGAAATTAGCCGCAACTACGCTTGAGTGGCACAAATAAGCTCCACCAGCGGTCGGTGTAGCTTTTTATGAGCGACTTTGGCGATAGAGGTAAACCCTAAACCCTAAACCCTAAACCCGAAACCCTAAACCCTAAAACCCTAAACCCCTAAACCCCGAAACCCTGCAGGCTTGAGCTCAAACCCTACACCCCAAACCCTCAAGCCCCGATGGGGTGTGTCCGACCTCTGGCGGAGAGAAAGGGGCGCATGACACTAACAACAAAGCTCTCAAGCCTAAACCCTAAACCCTAAACCCCTAAATCCCTAAACCCGAAACCCCTAAACCCGAAACCCTAAACCCCCAAACCCGAAACCCGGCAGACTGAAGTCTAGGCTTAGGGTTGACGGCTTCGGGCCTCTCAGCCTTGAGGGGCTCTGGGTTTCGGGGGTTTCAGGGGTTTACGGCTTCAGGTTTAGGGCTTCGGGTTTAGAGTTTAGGGTTTGGGGCTTTAGGGTTTACGGTTTAGGGTTTACGGCTTCAGGTTTAGGGTTTAGGGTTTTAGGGTTTGGGGTTTTAGGGTTTGGGGTTTTAGGGTTTAGGGTTGGCCCCATATTCAGAAGATGCCAATTCCGATACCGCAAGCACTCGCAGTAGAAGGCTATTCACAAAGCCCGCATAGCGAAACTGTGAGCACACCCCCCATGAGCCGCACGAATCTTCTTATGATCAAGCCTGCAAAAGTTTGATGTAACTGTGCGGAAGGGCTTACGGTTTTCGAACACAGCGGGTTTGGGTTTAGGGTTTAGGGTTTAGGGTGCAGGGCTGATTGGTCAAACATCAGAAAACAGGTCCCAAGTCTAAGTGTCTCCAAGATCCATCCATGAGTTTTTGTACCAAAGTGTCATGCTGGTGCAATTCCAAGGCCTTCTCCGTCGGTTTATAACCATAAAGCCCAAAACCCTAAAACCCTAAACCCTAAAACCCTAAACCGCTAGCCCTGACCCTGCTGCTAACCCTGAAGAGAGGCACCGTGCGGCAGATGGAGAATTCAGAAGCCTCCCGGCTCCGTACCAGGGTTTAGGGGTTTAGGGTCTAAGGGTTTAGGGGTTTAGGGTTTTTGGGGTTAGGGGTTTAGGGTTTAGGGGTATAGGGGTTTGGGGGTTTAGGGGTTTCGGGCTTAGGGGTTTAGGGTTTTAGAGTTTCGGGGTTTAGAGTTTAGGGTTTTATCGGCCATCCGACATTGACATACAAAGTGGGTCGAGCCTCAGTAGATTCCGGATTTTTTGCAGTCGCTCTTCCCAGTTGCTGTAAACGGTAAGGTGTGCTACAGCGCGTCCAACCCTAAGCCTAAGCATGACACCAAGGTTCTTTTGACCCATACAGAGAACGCTTGAGACCTGAGGTCGAACATCGGCATTTGAAGTAGGGCTTGGGGCACAGAGTTTGGGTGGTTTCTTTTATAAAGTATGTCGATTAGTGTTACAACTATCTACGAGGTATGTCTGCGCAAGACCACTAAACTCCAAATCTTCACACCCTAAGCTGCTAAACCCGAAACTAAACCCTAAACCCTAAACCCGCAAAGGATCGCTTAAGGGAATCACAGCAAAATACGAGCCTGACCATCGTCATATATAGACAGAGATTACAGTACAGTTCCTTTCCTCTATGCAAGAGCATGGAATTCAAGAACCCCAAGCTCCATGGCAGTCATTGCATTTGGAGTTTCGCAAGAAGAGGTGAAGCCAAAGTCGTGTGACAAGTATGATGTTGCAGCCTGATGCAGCTCAAACAACCTAAAAGCCTCAGCAGTCAATAGTCAATAGTCAGACAAGGGTATTGGGTATTCATGATGCAAAGTCTTATCGTTCTGGAAGAATGCAGCATTACTGATAAAGCGTTCAGGCCATGAACCGACTATGATCGTATGAGAGCGCCTTTGCTGCTGGACATAGTTGAGCTGGCACTTTAGACTTCCATGAGCTCAGCCAGCACACGTGCAGAACTCTCAACCCGCGGCGCTGCTGTAGCTAATAAGTGTGCTGCCGTATTCCGGTCTGAACCTACACATCACATCTTCAAGCAAATTACAAACCAAGCACCATGAAGCCCTAAACCCTGAATCTTAAATCCTATAATCCTAACCCAGGCCCCCTAAACCTTAAACCCTTATCTGGGTCCTTGTTGGGTACAAATGTACATTTTTGTTAATATAAAAAGAAATGAGGATTAAACAGGATCATTTTTGATGTAGCCCCAACAGGGAACCAGTTATAAGTCTGAAACAACCTGAAACAGTACGTCCTAATAGACGCTAAATCCGAAACCCTGCACCCTGAGCCCTAAACCCTAAGCCCTAAAGCCTAAACCCTAAATCCTAAACCCTAAACCCTAAACCTCGAACCCTCAAAACCCTAAACCTAAACCCTAACCCTAAACCCTGAACCCCAAGCTCGAGGACTGGCTCCTGACCTGGGCCGACGAAACAACTCGGCGATTTGCGGGCGGCCGCTTGATCAGCGCCTCGGATTAGGGATCGGAGTTTAGGGTTTAGGGTTTAGGGTTTAGGGTTTAGAGAGCAGGGGTTCAGAGTTTTGGGAACAGGGAACTGGGTTGAGGGTTCAGAGTTTAGGGCTTGGAGTGTAGGGTTTTGGGGCATTCCAGGGGTTTAGGGGGTTAGAGATCGGAGGGAAGGGATCAGGGGTTCAGAACTTAGAGGGTTTAGAGTTCAGGGGTTTAGGGATCGGAGTTTCGGAAAGTTTAGGGTTTTATAGGGGCTTGGCGGGTTAGACATCGGAGTTTAGGGAACAGGGGTTCAGAGCTTTGGGTTTAGAGTTCAGGGCTTTGGGGAGTTTGGGGATCGGAGCTTCGGAAAGTTTAGGGTTCAGAGCGTGGGGGTTTTGGAGCTTAGAGGTCAGAGTTTAGGGAACATGGGTCGGGTTTAGGGTTTAGGGTTTAGGGTTTAGGGTTTAGGGTTTAGGGGTTTAGGGGTTTAGGGTTTAGGGTTTAGGGTCTCATGGAATAGAGTGGGTGGTGAATACTTGGAGGCCCCTTTGACTTAGTAAGTCTACTTAGTATCCCCTAGAAACCCTCTTATAATCCCCATAACCCACCTGACTAACCCTACTTACTAAGTCAAAAGGGCCTCCAAGCATGGGTTGGAGGTTCAGAGTTTAGGGTTTAGGACTTCAGAGCTTCCGTTTAGGGTTTAGGGTTTAGGGTTTAGGGTTTAGGGTTTAGGGTTTAGGGTTTAGGGAGGGTTCAGGGGTTTACATGGGAGTTTCCGAACATAAGGGGTACCTTATTTGGGGGTCCTTATAATAAGGATCCAACTATTTGGGTACTATAAAGAGGGTCCCCTATTGTCGAAAACCCCATATAGGGTTCAGAGGTTTAGTTAACACCGTCTTAGAACCTTGCTTGATGGGGTCTGGCCCAGGCCCAGGCACAGAGAGACTGATAACAGAACTTTCGCTCGAAGATTTATCGACACATGCGAGGCCCTGCGCTGGCGATATCCGCATAAGCAGCCCCTTGGGCTGTGTAAACCTAAACCCTGGCATCCCAAACCTTTCCAAGTCTACATGAAGCTGTGGAATTATTGGTACTATCACATATGATTATATTTAGTATTACTATTATTATTATTGTTACTATTATTTTTTGTTATTATTTTTATTATTGTTATTATTTTTTGCTGCTACTACTATTACTAGTATTGTTGATGAGAGGGTCCTGCTGAGCATTGGGAGCCCGATTCCCAGACCCAAACTCCCCCGGACTGTCCTTGACCGATCCACAGCTTCTGCAGGCTATGGCGTCACGTATTTTTCTGCCTGGCGAGAGGTGGGGAGAAAAGGATTTAGGGTTTAGGGGTTTAGGGTTTAGGGGTTCAGGGTTTAGGGAACATGTATGCGTACCCTTTTTGGTTGCACCCACAGTCCAGGAGGAGCTGGAAAGGCGATCATGAAGCCGCCTCAAGTTCTGCGAACACCCGACAGAAGCCAGAAAGGATGACTCCTCTAAACCCCTGTAGACCCTGAATTCAGACCTTAGCTTAACCCCAAATAACCTACCTTTTTTAAGGACTTATATAAAGAAATCATACTAAGGAACCCTAATTTAAGGACTTATATAAAGAAATCAAAATGAGGAACCCTAAAAAAGAGTAGGTTCTTGAGGGTCCAGGTAGCCCATGAACCCTGAACCCTAAACCCTAAACCCTAAACCCCTAAACCCTAAACCCTAAACCCTAAACCCTAAGCCCATGAACCTCGAGCCTCACGGCCTGAAACCAACTCAAAGCTGTGCGCCTGCACAGGCGGTCCGCGATCCGCTGATCCAGGCGGGGCCCATAAATGTAGGGTTTAGGGTTTAGGGTTTAGGGTTTAGGGTTTAGGGTTAAGGCTCCCTACATCTTACATTCTAAACCATCCTAAGCCCAAGCCCTAAACCATCCTAAACCTCAAACCCAAAACCCAAAACCATCCTAAACCCCAAACCCTAAACCCAAAACCCTATAGGCTTTTTCTTCGCTTCAATTCAGGGTTTTGGGCGTCGGGCCAAGGGTTTAGTTTTACGGCTGCAGGGGGGGTAGGCCCTTGAGGTTTAGGGTTTAGGGTTTAGGGTTTGAGTGTACCCTTCTTTGGCCATCTTATTTCAGAACGTAGTTTATCCAAAACGGGGATATTGCAGTCTAGGGTCGAGGAAGCAACAAGCTTGCACCCTAAACCCTGGAATCCTTAAACCCTACACCCCAAACCCGAAGCCCTAACACCCTAAACCTCAAGCCAGGAACCCCAAACGGCCCTAAACCCGCCGAAAACAAGCACAAAACATCTCTGGCTCCCGAAGCTGTCCTCAACGCCCCAAAGCCCCGAACCCCAGAGGGTTCAGGGTTTAGGGTTCAGGGTTTAGGGTTTAGGGTTTATGGTACCGGACCTCAAACCCTCTTAGGGTTTGGGGCCTGACAGGGCTTAGGGGTTTAGAAAACCCCGAAACGGTTTTGTAAAATCTGGACCCTGATAGGGTTTTAGTTTAGGGGGTTTTGTAAACCCTGAATCCTGATAGGGTTCAGGGGTTTTGTAAGCCCTGAACCCTGACAGGGTTTGGGGGTTTTGTAAACGCTGAACCCGGATAGCGTATAGGGGTTTTGCAAACCCCAAACCCTACTAGGGTTTAGGGTTTAGTGATAAGCCCACCCAGGATGCCATGGCCAGTGCGGTGGAGCCGGTGGTCATGCTTGTGGGCAGTGCCCTGGGCCACTCGGCTGCTTTTCTTGTTTTTTGTGTTTGGGATTTGGGATGCTGGGTTTACGCTTTCGGTTTTCTGGCTTGTTGTTTCTTTGGTTTTGGGTTGGGGTTAACGGTTTCGGGTTTGCAAAGGGTGTCGGATGTTGGTTTGTGGCTTCGTTTCTTGGATATTGGAATATTGGATTTAAGGTTCAGGGGTTCTGGTTTAGGATCCCGTGTTTTGAGAGTTGTGGGCTTGGATTTGGCACGAGTGTCTGTGACTGTCTGTGTGTGCTTGCCCTGCTTCGTTTGAGCCTTGAAGAGGAAGTCTGCGACTTGAGCTCGGTACCTACCTTAAGAACCCAAAACCTACTTTTTTTTGTATGGTCCCTATAAATCCCATATTAGGGTTTATAATAAGAACCTACAAAAAAGTGGGTTTTGGGTTTCTTAAAGTAAACCCTAAACCCTAAACAGGCTAACTGCATGAGGTTAGGGGGTTGAGGTTTGAAGTCCCATGGCCCAGAACCGAAGTTTGGGGGTTTAGGGTTTAGGGTTTACTGTAGGGTTTAGGGTTTAGGGTTTAGGGTTTAGGCCCAGCACTCGGAGCTTGAGGTTTGGGGGTTGTTTACGCTCGATACAGGGTTTGGCACCTTGCGCACTTACTGAAGGGGTGATGGGACTTAGTAGCTAGCGTTTTCAGGGTAACTACTCTTACAGTTACTTACATCCCTAAACCCTAAACCCTAAACCCTAAACCCTTCAAGTAAGGTACTTACTACCGTTACTTACTAAGTCCCGTGAACCTCCAACTAAGGCGTGGGGCTTCCGGACCACGGTTTAAGGTTTAGGGTTTAGGGTTTAGGGTCTAGGGTTTAGGGTTTAGACTTCCGGATTCGAAATTGGGTGTAAGGTTTTGGGTTGGGGGCTGTTGGTTGGGGTTGGTTGTTGCTTCTGACTCATATAGCTTTCGAGTTTAGGGCTCACCTTAAGACCCCAAAGCCCACTTTTCTGTAGGCGCTTATTTTTAACCCTAATATGGCATTTAATTATAGGGACCCTACAAAAAAGTAGGTTTGGGGTTCTTAAGGCAGGGCTCCAAACCACACTCCATGGGTTCAGGGCTCAATCAGATTTTCGGGTTTTGGGGTATTGGGCTGAGGCTCCGATACTCGTGCTTCGGGGTTGGGCAGGCTCGCTGAAAGTCTCAAGCCAGCTATGCAGAAATCATACCTCGCTTCGGATGACGGGGTTAAGCTGAGGGTCATTTTTTGCAGTCGTGGGGTCAGGGGAGGTGGCCGTTCCGAACGTTGGATGGAAGTCGTCAGACCCGGGCTCGGGAATCAAGGTTCATCGTCCAACCCGTTAGTTTTGACAAAGTCTGCGCATCAAGTCGCGACATTAGATTCAAATCCAAATTTCAATCGCAATCCTCAACTCTAAACTGATAAATCCTAAATTCCAAACTGGCACCACTATGAATGCCGCCGAAGGCTACCAGTGTGCATTTGCAATCAGCTTGGGCTTTGCCAAATGTGTGGGCTATGACCTGCTTTGCAGGAAGCCCAGTGCAGTTTGCGCTTGAAGATTTCAGGCGTAGGGTTAAAGGCCAGTTTAGAATTTTGGGTCTTGGGTTTAGGTTTAGGGTTATGGGGGTGTAGAGGGCATAGGGCGCCGGGCCCAGGGTTCATTAGGATATCTAACTAAAATTTAGATACAAGTAAACCTGGAAACGATACTTTAAGCGATAAGCCCTACCTCAACCCTAAACCCTAGATCAAAGCCCAAAAAAGTCAGTGGCTCCCAATTGCAAGCTGATTGTGTGTTTAGGGTCCTAAACCCTAAAACCTGAACCCTAAACCCTAAAGGTTCAGGTCTTAAACATGTAGGGTTTCGGGTTTCGGGTTTAGGGGGGCTTCAGAGTTCAGGGCTGGGAGCCTTTTGGGTGCCAACATGCAAGCCTCCACAGGGTCCTAATATAGGGGCCTTCATAATGAGAGGAGGGTTTAGGATTTAGGGTTTAGGGTTTAGGGTTTATGTAGGGGCCTTCATAATGAGAGGAGGGTTTTGGGGCCCATGATACTATAATTATAATATAGGGGCCTTCATAATTAGAGGAGGGTTTTGGGGCCCATGATACTATAGTTAGAATTATAATCAGGAAGCCCCAGAAATAGTATTGGTAGTTATTTAGGCGCCTACATTAATGCTGAAGACAATATGGGAGTGCGTTAGCAAGGAGCCAAGGTGTATGTCGGGCTAAAAGGGCTTCCGTGTTCTTCTTCAGCCTGAGGAACCCAGAGACTCCAATACCCCTTAATTAAGGAATATACCTTAAATTATAGTAGGATCCCTAATGAGATTTAAGGTATATTCCTTAATTAAGGGGTATTGGAGTCTCTGGGAAGGCTGTTGCACTTGTCGCGACATTCGCAGTACCCTGCGCATGAAAGCAATGCAGACTAAGACTCAACTGCAACTTTAACCCTAAAGCCTACGGCCTTGAGCTACAGCTTTTTAGCCAGCCCTAAACCCTAAACCCCAAACCCTAAGCCCCTAAACCTCTAAACCCTAAACCCGAAAGCCCCCATTTTCGCTCTTGATGAGGCTCGAGCATGGTGGCGCCAGCCCAGAAGATTGCAGAGGAAGGGCCGCCAGGGCTCCAGGTTGAGAGTGAGTTGCGGGATGTACTATACAAGCCTAAATGACTAGCTACATTATTCCTTAGGGCCCCTCATTATAATAATATAATTGTAATATAATGGGCACCAACACCCTATTCTAATTATTAAGGCCTCTATATTAGGGTTTTACGGTTGACAAGTTTGAGAGCGAGTTTTAGGGATTCTTTTGTTCTATCTCAAGGCAAAGACTCTCACTTCCATCCACTTGTGGCGTCTCCCTGAATTGGAACTCAGTGGTAGTCTTTTGGTACCCTAAACCCTAAACCCTAAACCCTGCGGAGCTGCTCGAAGATATATTCCCTCCTGGAATACGAATCACACAGGGGCACTTCACTGCAGAGCCGTACCTGAAATGGCAAGCTTTTCATGAGCTCCCTGTTCCCTACAATCACTGTTTGGGCGACGCTTCAGAGCGCAGCCTTCCAGGTTAGGGGGCTGCCCCCTAATGACTACTGTAACTGAGGATTCCTAGTTGCGCGATGTTCGCCACCAGCTGTCCCGAAACCCTACCTTAAAAACCCAAAACCCACTTTTTTGTAGGTTCTTATTATCAACCCTAATATGGGATTTCTAGGGACCCTACAAAAAAGTAGGTTTTGGGTTCTTAAGGTAAACCCTAAACCCGAAACCCTAAACCTTAAACCCTATCTACAGAAGGGAGCCCTCAACTCTGCACCTTGCCTGCGCCCCGTACCCTAAGCCCTAACCCTTGTTGAGCTCAGCACCCTAATGTAAGATGCATTAAGCGCTTCTTGTACATCGCTCTCGTCTTGACACGCCCAACCCCAAACCTCAACCTCCACCTACGCTCTATTAAAACCCCCAAGACTTAAGAAGCACCTTTCTGTGGTCTGAGATTGCCCTGAATCACCCTAAACCCTGAAGCTCTTAAACGCTTGAATTGAACCTAAAAACCTGGAATGCCCAATCGACTCGACTCTCAAATTTAAATCCAGAAACCAACCCTAAACCCTAAACCCTAAACCCTCAGTAACATCACTTCACCTCCCAGGAGGTTGGGCTATCGGACCGGCACCTTGCTGAAGATGAGAGGTTTCAGAGGTTGAGGGATTTAGGGTTTAGGGTTTAGGGATTTAGGGTTTAGGGTTTAGGGTTTAGGGTTTAGGAGGGGTTTAGTTGTTTAGGGGTTTAGGGATCAGTTAGGGTTTAGGAGTAGAGAAAGACACCCCCAAAGCTATGTGGGAGTTTCGGAAAATTAGGGGTACCTTGTTTTGGGGTCCTTATAATAAGGATCCTACTATTTAGGGTACTATGTTAGGGTCCCTTATTTTCGGAAACCCCCATGTATCCGAGGATTCAGTTCCACTGCGCCGATGCCCTTACAGCTCCAGAGCTCAAAGAAGCAGCGCCGCGGCTTGCAGGGCTCAAGGTTGTCCCTAAACCCTAAACCCTAAACCCTAAACCCTAAAGGGCCCTAGTCCTTTAAGGGCTTAAGAAGGGCTTTGGGCTGGTAATGTAGGGGGCCTAGAGGATTTAGGGTTTAGGGTTTAGAGTTCAGGGTTTAGGGATATAGGGGCCGAAAAAATTACCAATACTATTTTTTGGGGAGGGTTCCTTATATTGTAACTGTTAACTATAGTAGAATATGCCCCAAAACTCTACTCTAATTATTAAGGCCCCTGTAGTAGGGCCCAAGGTTCGCCTAGGGTTTAATTAGGGATGCGTACAGGCTTAGGGCTTGCGTGGCTGAAGGCTGGCCATTTGGGGTTCTCTGGCAGGGTTGAGGGCTCGGAGGTTCTCGAAACGGGTTCTGCAAACCCTACACCCTAAACACAACAAACCTTGAACCCCAAATCCTAAACCCGGGCTTTAGGGCGTGGGGTTTAGCGTTTAAAGGTTCTCGAACAGGCTTCAATCAACGATCGGCGTGTGCTGTTGAGAAATATCTCCAGCCCCTTCTCAGGATCCATCTACCCTTCCAGAGAGGCTTTATTGGGATTTGCAGGGTTCTGTGGGTTTTTGCAGGCTTTGATGGAGTTCTAGGCTTTGCGGAGTTTTGCACGGTTCTAGGGGCCCTTACAGCGATGTTGCTATGAGGTTTGTCTTCGGTTCCTACAGGGTATTCCATGATACAAACGTTGGCCTTAAGCTAAAGGGTCTTCTACCGGGGATGCTTGGAGTTTGGTCAGCCCTAAACCCTAACCCCTAAACTCTAAACCCCTAAACCCCTAAAACCCTAAACCCTAAACCCAAAGCCCTAAACCCTAAACCCCTAAAGCCCTAAACCCTAAACTCATAAACCATACAGACCCTAAACCCCAAAAATGCATGCGTGCAGTTGAGGGCTGGAAGTTCCCCCTCTTGGGGTTTTCGAAAGGTTGTACTGGGCTTCAAGAAGGGTTCCGGAAGCCTGGCCTTGCAAGGGCTTTGGGGTTTAGGATTTTAGGATTTAGGGTTTAGGTTTCAGGGTTTAGGGTTTAGGGTTTAGGGTTTTCAGGCTTTTCGGTGGATTAGGAGTTTAGTCTAGAACATTTTCAGGAGGGGTAGTAACCCTTCTAGGAGCCTTATAGAAGGTCTATATACCTTCTAGAAGCCTTATAGAAGCCCTATATACCCTAAACTCCCTTAAGTTTAGAGTTACAGGCTGCTTCGGGCTACGAGTCTGGGGTCAAGGGTCTGGGTCTTCGTGCGAAGACCTTGCCGACCCCCCCTTACGTCAATTAAGGGTTTAGGGTTTAGGGCAGGGTTTCAGGATTTTAGGCAACGTCCACCTTTTTTGGAAAGCTACCTTTTCGGCTTGATGTTTAAATTAGGATACGCGATGCTGCATCATACCCTCAGGTTGTAGAACTTGCTGCGACAGAAGAGTCGAACCTGAATCCCAAAATACTTTGCCGTTGCCACCTCTAAACCCTCAACTCCTTAGCCCAAAACCCTGATTAAACCCTAGACCCTTAAACCCTGTAAATAACCCGAACCCTAAACCCTAAAATGTCTAAAGACTTTCATGTCCGTCACTCATGAGAGCCCATAAACTTACGACAAGATCGGGCCAGAGCTTTTGAAGGATTGCTGATTCTGGGTTCTTTCTTGGGTTTAAGTTTAGGGTTCAGGGCTCCGTGCGGAAGCCTCGCACCAGAGCCCTTAAGCATTTCCGCAAGGCCTATAACCTGCGGATGGCGCAATCAAGTATGACTTTCCATGACAGTCGCCACCCGAACCCTAAACCCTAAACCCTAAACCCTAAACCCGAAGAGTTTCCGAAGTCAAACAGAGCACTCCATGGGGACCTCGATGGGCCTCTGACGTGGAGCCTGTTCTGGAAACCGAAAGTCCGCAGCCCTAAACCCTAAATCCTTAAAGGGTTTAGGGTTTAGGGTTTAGGGTTTAGGGTTTAGGGTTTAGGGTTTAGGGTTTAGGGAACCCTTGAAGGAGCCCTTGAAGGAAGTGTTTAAGGACGTGTTAAAGGGTTTGAGGAGGGTCTTCCTGTGGCCATGGCTGTTGGTTTGGGGTTTAACGGTTGGGGTGCATAACGGCAGGGCTCATGTGTCTTGTGTTTACCTTCGTTGTTTTTGCATCAGCTTGTAGATGCTCTAATCTTTCTTCACGCAAGACCTGAACTCGGGAACCCGTGCAAAACAGCAGCACCGCCTCAGATAAAACGTTTCCAAAACGCGGCTCAAGGATTACCAGGATCCCCAAGGGCGCATAATAGAGCCCGAGTTTTGGGCCTAAGCCCCAAACCCTAAACGCTTTATGAACCCCAAACGCTAAAAGCCTACACCCTAAACCGTGAAACTGTACGTACTTTCAGCTTAAGGGCCGCTTATATGGGAGTTTCCGAAAATTAGGGGTACCTTTTTGGGGGGTCCTTGTAATAAGGATCCTACTATTTAGGGGGGTGGTACTATATTAGGGTCCCCGATTTTCGGAAACCTAAACCCTAAACCCTAAACCCTAAACCCTATATTAGGGTCCCCTAGTTTCGGAAACCCCCATATAGTCTATTAGTCAATATCAGGCTTTTCGGCCCCACTGGCTACGGTGTTACGGCTTGGGACTTTGAGCTTAGAGGGTTTAGGGTTTAGGCTTTAGAGGCTTTAGAGAGGGTTTAGAGGGTTTAGCGGGTTTGGAGGGTTTGGAGGGTTTAGAGGGTTTAGGGCTTATAGGGCTTATAGGGTTTAGGGCTTAGAGTTTAGGGTTTAGGGTTTGGCCCTATCCGCGGAACCTGAAACTCTAAGTGCTGAAGCGGTCATTGGCATTGGTCGATATACCTGGCCCAAAAAAGCCATCGAGGGTCCTCTCACTTCTTGGCTGCTTAGGTTCTTCATCGCTAAAAGAAGCTTTAAAGCGATCCCTAATCCCTAAACCCTAAACCCTAAACCAGTATAGGTGCCAGTCTCAGGCTGTGGTTTGGATCAACGACGACTGCTTCCCGCATCTTTGTGGCATTCCTACTTGTGACGGGATTTGGCTTCCGCAATTGACCATAACCTACTTGTTTGTAGGTCCTTTTTCTGAGCCCTAATACAGAGTTTGTAGTGACCCTACCAGAGAAGGTAGGTTTCGGTACCTCCGGGTCCACGTTGGGGTTTCTCTCTTTCTGGTTTTTGGTCGGGGACCCAGAGGCGGCGCGCAGGCTTCTGGCTTGAGCCCTTTGGTCACTGCGGGTGCCACAGGCTTGAAGCCAAGGTTCAGGGTTTAGGGCTCAGGGTTTAAGGTAGACCATGCGGAAGTTTTGGAATTCCCCTTGTTGGACTTAAGAGTCACCTAAGAGGATCTTATTTGCTGTTATGTTTACGGGGCTTCGGGCAAACCCAGTAATATAGGAGTCTGAATAAATTCATTTATAACATGCCGCAGAACCCTGTTCTGGTTGTCAAGCTCCCTAAACCCTAATCCTCATAGTAACCCGTATAGTAACCTTTTCAGCAGATTTTACCCGTATAGTGACCCTTTTAGCACATTTTAAAGGAACCCTAAACTCAAACCCCTATTCTAATTCGGTTTAGGGTACAGGCCCATGGTTTTGGGCCATTCGGTCTCTTCAGAACAAGCCTCTAGTTTACCTTAAGAAGGGTAGTTCAACAAACATGGAAAAGTACCGTAGTTCACTTTATACAGGGTGTTAGTGGATGCAAAGGTTTACTGCTGTGTGCCCTGAAACTATGTTGGGTGGAGTGGGAAGAAACCAAATGAATGCTATCCACAACCAGGCCTGGTGAATAAGTACCAACTACTGAGGGCTCTTAGAGGGTCTACGGTGGGTTTCGCCATGAGAGTTGCTGGGGTTCTAGCACACTGCCCTTAGAAACCCTGAAACCCTCAACTCTCCAAAGCCCTCAAGCTCGTTACGCCCCTTGTGTTTAGACGCCCTGTAGAACTCTTACAGGTGTAGACGGTGTGGACTCCTTTCCGTTATCGTTCCATTACGGAGCCGTTGTCGTACAAACCCCACCCTAAACCCTAAACCCTAAACCCTAAACACATAACATGGAACCCGAAAACTCCCGAGGCCCTCTTCATCCTCAAAGCCCATAACCCTAGACCCTGAACTCCGTAAGCTCCTTACAGTCACTAAACTTCTACATTCCCGAAATTTTCAACCACTTCAACCCTGGACCTTAACATAACCTATCCCTTTAAACGACTGAATCCTTGAGGCGGGACTTCTCACGGACACTCAGAGCCCGCCTAGCCGAAGAGCTTCTTCCAAAGGCCGCTTTCGTGTCCTACAAGGCCGATACAGGAGGGGGCATACCTTAAGAACCCAAAACCCACTTTTTTGTAGGTTCTTATTATAAACTCTAATATGGGATTTATAGGGACCCTACAAAAAAGTAGGTTTTGGGCTCATAAGGTAGGGGTTATGGGTTTAGGTTTCGGGTGTAGGGTTTTGGGTTTAGGGCTGTACGGTTTGGGGTTTAGAGTTGATGGTTTAGGACTGTTGGTTTAGTGCTTTGGGGAATTAAAGGATTTAGGGTTGATGGGTTTTGGTTTACAGTTGAGGGTTTAGGCTGCTGGCAGGTTGAAATTTGTAACGGGCACAATCTATGGGCCATAGAAATTGGGGGTGTGGGTTGCAGTATACTACAATTATGTAAGGGTTATAGGGCAACGTCAGTCCCAATTTGGAGAACCCATACGGTCTTCAGGTCTAGGGTTCAGGTTCTACACAGTGTTGTAAGCAAGCGGGCTTGTAGGTCTACTCAAAGGATAATGTGGTTTGGCAACTTGGGGCTATATTTGCAATAACTATATTTTAAAATACTTATAGCCCCAATTAACTAAGGCACCCATAGTCTTCAAGCTACTTCCTATGACCCTCCCAGTGCCACCTACTTTCCTCCCAGTTGGGCTCCATAGAAAATCTAAATCCCAAGATATCCGGTGCTCAGGGACTGC